TATACCTCACCTCTTCTTTTACTGTTACCCGCTTGTGGAATGTGGGGTTGAGATACTCCTCAGTCTTTCTGCATCTTGTGACTGAACAGATGGTGCCATTGTTCATTTTAAGATGCCTGCTGCAGATTTAACACCTTTCTGAACAAAATCTTTATCTGTCCCACAGCCGCCGAAAGCGGAATAGCTAATTAGCTAGTAAGGGCCTCACTCTTGTTCATACCGTCACTTTCGGTCCCTGTGTCTTATAACTGCAAACAAACAATGGAATTTGCACCGTTTTCACTCCACCTAGGTTGACATATATGTGACCAAGAAAAAATGAAAGTGGGCGGCGAAGTTTCCCTTCCCCACATGGACTTTGACTGGCACAGATTCGTTGGATACGCGAGCCAATCATTTTCAGCCGATTAATCTGACATCATCATAACATTTTTCTATTTATAGCAGTTACTGGTGCACTAAAGGTGTTACATTTTAACAGTGAATACAGCACCAGGTAAAAGCTTGGACACACCTACAGAAAATCATCTGTTAACTCCTCAAGGTTATGCAAGTGCTGTGTTTTCATGAGCAAGCAGAGAGATGGAGCGCTGTGACAGATGACCTGCCCCCCCTACAGTCACCAGAACTAAACCAAACGGAGCTGGTCTGGGATGAGTTGGATCAAAGAGTAAGAGCAAGGCTTCGCCTGGTGGCTTGTGTAGTCTTATCTTTGACCCTCAAAACATGCAACTAGCCAAGCTCACATGCAACCAAACTTTACCTCCAAAATTTGCAAGCCTCCCAATACGAGTGACGGGTACTTTCCGTTCTCGGGCTGTTTCACTCAGCTGAGGAAACAAAAAAAAACACAGAAAATAAGTGAAAGGAATAAGAATGATACGTGACACCTATTATATGATCATTTTAATGTACGTGGTGAAAAACACACTTATTAATTAAGGCATGATACAAACTTGCTTTCAGTTCAAGTAAAAACATGAAAAAAGAGAACTGGGGGAAAAATGTTACCACTTGTTTGTGCTGTTTGGAACTGCTGGCTTTGTCCTCTTCAGTTTTGTCAATTTCCTTTGCAGCAACTCCATTAACTGACGAGTGGTCTTGATGGAATGAGCGGGGCTGTCCTAAAAACTGCCTGTTTGGGTCCTTGCAGCTTCCAAACATCTTCATGATATGTTTCCTACTGACGGGGACAAACAGCCCAGGCTGCAAACTCACTGGTCTTTCACTGGGAAGAATACTGTCCCTCCATGTCACATCACATTTTATCATGGAACCAATCTGACTGGGCTTGGCAAAGGCTTCTTTGGGTCCATGAAGACAGTGCAAACAGTTTCTCTCTGGTCCAAAATCACAGGCATGCCAGTGCTGCAGGTCCTTTCACAAACAGAATGAAGAGTTAACTGGAATGACATTACAGGTTTGAGTTAGCAGGGCTACTTAAGTACTAAACGTCTTATGTTTTCCAGTAATTTCTATATACTAAAATACAGAAAATGTACCACTACTGCAAAATATTTGATTCAGAAGCTCTTACATAAATAGATAGGAACTGAATTATGTATGCTAGTGTTTGAATGTCAGTGCTAATGCAACAACCAAGAAACATTTGCAACATTATTCTTACTAAATCCTATAAATTTGTTAAAAGATGCTTGTGATGCTAGATTTATCCCTTCGATATAATGTGACAATTTTTTTCCCCTCATTTTTTACTGCATGGTCTGGAAGTTTCCATTTCTGGCCAACACGCAGCACCGAGCCCAGCTTTAATCAGTGATCTTACATCAGCCCGTGGCTTCTGAACAGGCACGGGTGTCCCGAGCCCAGCTGTCCCCCGGGTGTAACGGACCGCCTGTTCACAGCGCACGACGTGGGCCTGCATCTGGGTGACAGCCGAGCCGAGTCGGGCCACCTTGCTCATCAGCAGAATCATGTTCCACCTAGATGAGTTGGGGAAACCACACACACACACACACACACACACACACACAACTGATTGGTGGCTCACAAAATTCAGAAATGCATCACAGATCAGGAAAATGTTACACAGGCTTGTATGTTCTGCCATGTTAACAATATACAAACATATTAAATATATTCAATATTAAATTGCATGAACTTGTTAAAAGTCATCTGTGAATGGGATGGGGGGGGGGAGTGGGTGGTCACTCTGCTTGGTGCCCCCAAGGACGTGGTGCCCCTGGCCACGTGCCCAGATGCCTGTGCGGTTTATCCGGGCCTGCACACACATCACAGTCTCCTATCAGCCAAGATCAGTTGTGACACAAAAGCCGTGAGAATATTTCCGAAATAAAAAGGGCATCTCATACGGTTGTTGATTTATAAGGGTTGTGAAATGATATGATCCAAATGAAATGACGAAAATGAAATGAAATGATTAAACTTTATTGATCCCCATGGGGAAATTGTCTTTTTGCCTTCCCCATCTTCTCCTTAGGAGACGGCAAGCTTTGCAGCGAAGGGCAGCCACTTGTAACATATGCTTTGTAAATATTTTGTGCAGCAAGTATTTCACTGTACTTGTATAAATGACAATAAAGTTTTTGAATCCTTTTGAACGCTTCACGATGACTATGGACAATGTCATGCGTCCCATTTACTCGTACCTGGATTGGATATTACTTTTCAGAGTATATGTGACTGATAATATAATGTTTTCCTCCCATAATATTGAAAACGTCCTACAGCATTTACACAGATCAGTACCGGTCCTAGGCAATGTGGCCCTAGACAAGCATAACTGGCTGACAAGTCGGCGCCCCCTCAGAGACTGCCGCCCAAGGCGACCGCCTATGTCACGTATATGCTTGACCGGCTCTGGCACAGATTATTCGCCTGGTGGCTGGGATTAACGCAGAGGAAAAACACCGGGGCTGTATTCCGGTCAAGGCATTTACCGCGGTGCCAGGAAAGAGCTGGCACTTTCGGATGAAGCCGGTGACTGCTGATAAGAAAAACGCTGCACACGGAACAATGCATGCAGTCTCACAAATACGATATGAATTAGACCACGAGTCAAATAGCAGCACGGCACGGCGTGAGGGTGTATTCCTGAGAGTGTCTAATAATACGTTTATCTACTATCAACAAAATGGTGAAAGAAAGAGAGATTAAAGTTCAAGCCCAATGTTTTACCGCTGAGAAACCCCAGCATTAGTGTGTACGAAAGCCTATACTAATTTAAAACCTCAAACCCAAAACGTTATCTTTGGCCGAAAAGGTCTGAAAATAAACAAAAGCTGAGTATATACTCGATCTGTATTTAAACCTTGGAAGGCAATGACTTCCATTCATACTAAAAAGTGAATGCAATAAATAACTGGCAAATAAATAATATATCATTATTATATTGGTACATACTCTTTATACTACCAACCTGGAGAAATGCCTACTGTACCTAAATATTGTAGCCTACTTAAAAAAGTACAATTTTGGGCTTAAAAAATATTTCCAGATTAGGACAATTACCCAATATGAAGACAGTTGCAATTAAAGTTCCTAAACAGTAATATACTGGGTTGTTTTCGACTCCTTTTTCAAGTGAAATTCTCATTAATAAAGATCAAGTTTTCACTTTCTCATAACCGACCAGCTCATGAACCCAATCTTTCTTGGACAGCGTGCAGACTTTACAAGGATCACTTTGAAAAGCACCCAACGCGCAAAACAAGTCTGCTTCATTTCACTTGAAGTTCCCGCACAACGATCACTACATTTAAAAAAGATACATGTATACCTTACATTATTGTAGCCTATGCAAAACAGTTTTACTCTTATTACAAATATTGCGGGAAAACATTCGTGCAATTAATTCCCAGAAAATGTCTACATAAATAAAGGTAGTCCGTAAAACCGCAACATTGGAAAAAACACGTACGTGTTTTAGTAGATTTATAATACTAAATGAATTACACGACCTACACACTTACCGACAGGGCTGGTAACCGATACGCTTTGGAAAGCGCCTCGATCCTTTGGGTGTAGGTATGTCTTACACCATGAGGTCAAAGCTATTATTTACAAATTCGCGCGGTGCCACATTGCCCTGCGGCTTACGGCCCGCCTCAGCGGATCGCCGACTGGCTGCGCGCTCTCCGACGCAGCGCCGTGACCAGCTGACTGGTGCTTAGCGGACCCCTGGCCGCTCAATCATCCATCAAGCGTGTTATAAGTACGGCCAGTAGTTAAACGGAGAAGGCATGGCTGAACCTGTGCCACCTTTAAGTAGTCTAACAACTTTTTCCGGTCTATAAAAAGTTATTTCACGTACTTCCATCCATCTTCCAAACGCTTGTCCAATGCTGGATCGAAAAGCTTAGCGTGTTTAAATGAATGTATACACAGCATATACTATATTAAGGTCCAAAATAAAAATGTTGAATCATGATTGCCAACTCTCACGCACCTGGCGTTGCACTCACGCTTTCAGAATCTCACGCACGAAATCTTATGGCAAATCTATATTCCATTCTAAACTTAAAATTAGAACTTGAAAATTTTCGAGTAGTCCACAAACCACATAGACTATATTTACAAGGTAATAAAACTGTTACATGCTTGCAAATATGTGTGCAGATTCTATCCAATTGAAAATCTCACTCCAGCCTGTATTGCATATTTTAGAATGTCAGACTCATTTTAGTTCCTTATAGTGTATTCTAAATAAATCGGAGAATTTTAAATCTTACAGTATATTAATGATACCCAATTTCCCTACGTAATAAACCAAAGGTGCTTGTTTATTTGTGTGAAATGATTTAAAAGTTTCCCTTGGTTGCTCACTTCACTAAAATAGTGATAGCATCTATTGTTTAAAGCTTCATTCAATTAATGGACATATCCTATATGGAGGAAACTCGCAAAACGTTTACTGGTTTTAGTTATAACGGAATTCACGGCCATTCACCACAGGTGTGAAAGCGTTTCTTACCCAAAGATTAAAGTATTGTAAAAATCAATAACTAACTTCAGCAAAGTTTAAATTTAAACAGAACGTTATGCAACGTCGTTTAATGCCCACATTTCAAAATTACGTCTCAAAACGAGTACTCTGCTATAAATTAACTACATGTAAATACAGAATTGCAAGGGGGCGCCAAACATCATATTCAGTACATATTTACCGGCACGTCAAAAGCATATCCGGTTGTGAACCAAATATGTGAGGTTTATAAAGTACAACGATTATACAGACGAACTGTAAATGGGAAACTGAAAGATGGAGAACTTGGTATCAACGCAGTGTATTCTCCCCATACAAATTCTCAAAGCAGAGCTAAGTCAATGCAATTATTCCTTTGAGAAAAGAGGGTCAATGTTTGGCTCCCACAAAATCGGGATTGTGGAATTAGGAGAAGCTTAAGTTATAATTTCACGATGTGTTTGACACCTTCAGGAAAATATCTTTTGAAGATCCTCAATTAATAACACATATTTCTTTTTTCTAATCATGAAGCAATCACTGGTGGCATGTACATTTTGTGTAACATGACATTAACGCCGCAGCTTGTGAGATCTGCCCTGTCAGGCCGTGATGAAAGGTTTCAGCCGAGGGAAGAGCTTCAGGGCGTTCTGCTTCGTTATCTCCATCACTGTTTCCAGGGAGACACCTTTGACCTTGGCAACGTACTCCGCCGCTACGACGATGTTCTGGGGCTCATTCCTCACCTGTAACCCGGCGACACATGGATTGTTTTGGTTGAGCTCTACAGGTGCGTGTCAACATGAATTGCAGCCAAACTGGCCACAGTACAGACATCTATGGAGTGTAAGAAAGTCACACTGGCAAATATGTGGATGAGTGCAGAATACTGTCACCTTAACAGAGACCCAAAACTATCAGGGCTCCGCAAAGCGCCAAGGTTCTAATACAATAAAAATGCTTTTCACTTTTTACTGGGGAAGTGAAAAGATGCAGAATTGCATATTTTAATCCTTTTCCTGAAAACATAAAAGATAAATATTTTAAGCTTAATAAAGCATTCATAAAACATTAAGCTGCATTTTAAACTTTTGTAAAAACATCATTAGCATGTCATTTTGGTTACAAATGCCAAGGTGTTATGCTGGTTTTGGGTTAGGCCTGTGTTTTGTCTTGCTTGCTAAAATATTCATTACAAAATGAGAAAAATATTCATATAAAATATATTCAACATACCTAAGGGTAAAGATGGCTAAACAAATCCTGGCTTTGTTTGTAAATTGGCTTACAAACAAATTTTGCTCATTTTTTACATAGCATTTCCCCCTGTTTTTACCATTTGCTGGATTTTTGCACTAGCATCAAACATTCCTGCTGATGTCGCAGTCGTGGCCAGGCTCCTGCTAATCATTAATCTACCTGCTTCTCTGGGCCGAGGGCCGGCGAATCCGTCTCAAGGCACATGTGCTCCAACGGCAGCTGCTGCACCAGCTTCTGCTTCTTAGGCAAAATACATCCGTCATCAAAACTGTGGAGAAGTCCAGCTCTGTGCAAGACCTTCTATTCAAATTACACACAAATACTGCCCAAGAAAGACATAATTTAAAACAGCCAAAATGACTGCATATTTCAAAGATTAAAGGTCCTCAAAACAGAGGAATAGCAGCCTGGAAACATATACACGTTTCAAACCAATTATAAGGTTGCTGAAAGCTATGTCTACACCGATTAATCAGTACCTGTTGACTTCTTATTATGGAAGGAGGTATAGAAAAAAAGTAGCCAGCTTTTACACCCTCCATTGCCACTGAGGGCTTTCCATCAAAGGCATGGAGCAGAGCCTTCTGAACTCCTGCAAAACAAAGTAACGGCGTATGAGGTCACACCACGAGTCGAACATTCAATGTTTCGGCCTGCTCTGCACCAATACCTTGCTCCTTCAAAAGATGAATAGTAGGCCTGCCCGCTGATCTTGAATGAACATTCCTAGATATATAGAAAGGAAACATTTTAGGTTTTTAAATGTATCAGTTAATAAAACAGTATATAAACGTCTATGAATATGAATAGATCTGAAATGATGAATGAATGAAATGTTCCTTTATTTGCCATTTCAGCAAGTACAAGTACAGGTACAATGGAACACCTTTTTTTTTGCATAGCCCGTCTTGTTCTGCTTTGATTAGAAACCTAAGAAGCAACCCAATCATGTAACACCCCTTTTCTTTTGATTTTGGAAAAAAACACTATGAATATATACGTGTGTGTGTTTATATATATATATGAAGATTTCTTTTTGCAGCAGCACAGGGCCCAAGGCAGGGGTATATCCTGGCTGGGGATGAGTGTCCATTATATTCACATACATGCTCACACTCACACTACGGGCAATTCAGAAGTGCCAGTGCCAGTTCACCTAACTGTATGCCTTTGGACTGTAGGAGAAAACTGGAGTCCCTGAATGAATGATTTACTGCACTACTGGGATAATAAGGAAAACTGCACAGTGGGGAATAATAAACCTGCATACATTAGATTAATCTAAAGTCTGCTTTCTTATTGTGCTATATTTCATGTTTTATAGACTTACAGTGGAAGGTCGAGTTGTTTTGCAATCTCGGCTTGTCGAATTAACACCCGTCGCTGTTCTTCCTTTCCAGTTTCACTGTTAACGATTCGAGGAGTGAAATCGAGACCAACCTGTCCATAAACACAATATAACAACGTTAACGGGGTGCTAATATTAATTCTGTGGAAACCCAATGATAAGTCTGTCTGTGTGAAGCTCAACAGAGTCAGATGAGTAAGTGCAGTTAGTGTAATGAGGGGAACGTTACCTCTCCTATTGCTAAAAGCTGGTCTTTATATTTCTCTATCAGAGGCAAGGCAGCATCTAAATCCTGTAACAACATAATAATAATCAGACTTCCTTCTATCTTAGCTTATCATCCTCAAAATGTACATCTGAATATGTGATGGAATAAAGTAAATTAAACTTTGCTGCTGCTTAAATGCAATGCACACACTTTATTATTTTTATTTCTATTACTCTGTTAAGCATTGTCTATTTCTATTACTATCCCATGTTTAGAGATTTAGAGAACATTTAACATGGAATTTCAAGTCAATTTATTCTTGTAGGTAGTATACTTAATATATACCTATTAGATTAGATTGATTAGATTAGTTTAGATTCAGACAACAAAATGCACTCTGGCATCTAATCTTAAAGTGAGAAACGGTGCGACATGCTAGAAACAACTATACAATATATACATCCGTGATCAACAGAAAAAACTACATTATACAGTGGTATGGGGTGGCTTATATACAGCATCTGTGATGGCAATAAGGATTGTTCTGTATAGTCTATCTATCTATCTATCTATCTATCTATCTATACCCACAGTACATTTCAGTAACTATGAAGGTGAGGGGAGTATGCAGTCCATAGTTAGGGGTGTGACTAAGTGAAGATTAATGGTGGTGTGACAGGTTAGCTGGGAGACAGCAGTGAAGAAGTAGTACAGTAGTTTCTCAGCCTGCTGGTGTGGGAGTGTAGGCATCTATACCAAAACCCAGGAAATTAAATAGTACAAGGGTACTTCAGTTTTATATTTTCATCTTTAAGGCCTTCCCTGACTGAATTATATTTATAAAGTCCCAGACTAGAACATAGTGATAACAGAGAAAATAAACACCTCCTGCACAATATACCTGAAATGTCACGCCCCTCTGCTCTTCTGGATGTATACCCTGAACTGGATGGATGCCAAGGCATGGAAACACAAACCCTGGAAACCTGGTACAGTAACACATGCAGTACATAGCGTACATATTAAAAGACAGCAGTGCCAACTGGAGTACTTGGCACACATTTAAATACAGTAACTGTCTTTGTCTGGGCAGGCTACCTTTTAGAGAGCTGTATGATCTTCTCAAACTCCCCCGCGTGTTCTGCAACGGCCACAAGCGCTATGAGCCCATTCTGTGAGACGGCATCGTTAATTACTAAAAAAATTGTCACTTTATATACGAGCATAAAATAACGTCGACTCGTCAAGAAAGGTACCTTTTTGGAATTATCAACGACATCTTCTATGTCCTAAAAAGAAAATTTCTAGATTATTAATTTGTATATCGCTAAACGATAAATCCAGTTTGTATACGTAAAGTTATATTACACTGCCTTCATGGTGGCAAAATTAAGTAAGGGATAAAAGCAAAAATAGACAAAACGTATATATATATGTCTTACGCTATCAAACTCTTCAGCAGAGATATGACAATGACAGTCAATAAAGCCTTTCATGTGGCCGGCAGCTGAACAATTATATATGTCTTACTAAAATCTAAAGCATTTCTTCGGCATAAATGAAAATTGTGCAACACAAATAATTTAGCTCACTATCTCGAAAGAATTCTGTTACAGCTTCGAGTCACTGCTACATTATTATCGAAACTAGTTCGGCTTCTGACACTTCCGGTTCCGGTTCAAAGGTCACATTAAAAACCTCGTATCACGTTGATCTATTGAAGCGTCTAATCCGTACTTGGGTTTCCTCGTGAGAAAATTCATGTGTTGAAACGACAAGCATATTTTCCTAGATATTAAAGTACACACAGTCTTGGTACAGTATGTGCTATATCGGTTTAATACGTAGTGTAGTGATAACTGCATCAATACTTACTTTTATTGAGTAAGAATTCAACCCAGCTAAGAAAGGTTAGATACACAAATTAAAATAAACACTGGTGAAACGTAGAATGTTTATTTCTCTGGATTTTAATTACACCATATCATATATATTAGCAAGCAAATCAATGTAGCAATGCAAATCAATTCAAATTTTATCTTTGAAATCTTTTATCTTTAAAAAAATGTTGTAAACAAAACACATCAAGGTGGGTCGAAAAAACATTGTGGTAGAATTAGATGAAAAAAATCAATTTACAGAGATATTAATCATTAAGAATAATAAAAAAGATAAAATGGCTCAATTTGCTCCAGTCAGTTTGAGAGTCCAAGCCCAGAAGCAGGGCATCTGACTGACAGAAAGTGTAGGCAGGTAAACCGTCAGTCCAGTTTTCAAGGCAATCCACTTCAGAGGCTGAGCATATCCCAGAAGAACCACCTTGTTGGGGAAGAAGATTGCATGTGAGACTGATCAATGTGTGGTCTATAAAAGGTGATTAAAAAACTATCTCCTTCTGCTTGATTTTACATGTACCATGGTTTCTCATTTATGCCACACAAAGAATTTAATGTTTATTTTGCAGCCTAATTTCTTTTTCAAAAGAACAATTTTGGAATAAAACTCATCAAAAGGTCTAAATCTGAAGGAAAGTAGCATACACACTAAAACCTACAATAAATGCTATAGGAATACTTTACCTCAGTATTGTTAAAAACAACTGGCACATTGAGGTTTACTGTTCCTTTTGTGGGCCACTGTAAGAACACTGCATATATGTCTTTCGTCTCTGGTTTCCATGTATACCTATATGAAGGCAAAACAGTCAAACCCAGAAGATTGAAAGGTATTTAATTTGGGGAATTTTTATACAAAAAGTTGGTTCTCTGGTTCTTCTTCTCCTGCCACACAGAATCAGAATAAATACAAATACTGCTTCTTCCATATAGTTAAAGTACACGGCTTCTAAGCTTCCATTATGGGTTTTATTATAACAAAAGTAGTTAGAAGCCATGTAACCCCAGTAGTGACTGACCAGACTCCTGGAAAGATGGTGTCGTTCTGGGCCCTCCATGCACTAGTGTTGTAGATGGCTTCCCCATTGACGCTCAACCACTGGCCCATCTGCCGCAGGCGTTCCTCAAAGATTGGGGCGATGCGTCCGTCGTGCGTGGGCCCAACGTTCATCAAGAGGTTACCCCCACAGGATACAGTCTCCACTAATGTCTGCGGAAAATTCTACTCTGAGACAGTGCTTCTCGTCTGCACACCCAGCCATACAACAGTCTAGATGCAGTTTCATACTTCCAGAGAATAAAATTCCCCCTGGTGAAGAGGAACCACTTTCTTGTATATACACAAGGCTGTAATTTTCAGATTTGTTTCAAAAATACTTCTGTATTTTTTAACGTGTTCTTCAGTTGTGCATTTTTACAGAATTTTACCTCAGAGAAGTAAATAACAGCTTATATGCTGAAACACTGCTCACTGCAAGAACAATATCCTGAAGTCAGTGAAGAATTTGTGAAGCATGGCTTCTAATGTATATACAGACTTTACCGCCACTAGCTGCTCGATGGTGAGGTAATCCTTCAGCTCTGCGTTCCTCCGGTATCCCCAAGATTTCTGGTCTATAGTCATGCAGTTCTCCCATTTATGATTCAGCAGGTGCCCGGGGTTGTAGCGGTCTGTGCAGGTGTAATATCCCCCGTGTTTGCACATACTGTTAAGTCCCCAGCGGTCATTCGTCACGACGGTTTTGCGCACAGGGCTGCAAAATATTAATTGCATATTTATCAGCAGCATCAGCCTGGTCTTCCTTAAACAGCAAGCAAACAAGTTACCTTTAATATCTTCAGCGGCTACCACAACAAAGCTTTAAACTGTCATGTTGAAGTGAAATTGATTAGTTGCCAATGTTAACACCACTGCACAACAATGAAATGTGTCCTCTGAAATTAATTCATATTTGACATAGGGGGGCAGCTAATTCAGTGCTTGGGGACAGTACCTTTCTCCAGGTACCTCAGCTGTACTTTGCTGGTCGGGGATTCGAACCAGCAATCTTTTCATTACAAGTGCGCTTCCCTAAGCATTAAGCCACCACTTCTTACGGCATCCGTCCCAGCTAAGGGGGTTCCCCTAAGGTTCCCCTAAGCTAAGCCCTGAATCAGGCATTACCTTTCATTATATAGCCAAGCCAGAAAGCCTGTGCTATTCCAGTAGGTATCTGGGGCATTTCCATCCCCATCTGACCACAGCACCTCTGGCTGGTACTTGTTGACGATCTCGTAGAGCTCGGGCAGGGATTTGGTCATTGGGAACTCCCTGGTTTTGAAGACATTCGCGGCATCCTGCAAGAAGAGTGGGTGGAACCACTCGAATAGGGAATGATACAGCCCCAGACGGAGCGCACTGTTGGCCCGAATGGCGTCAGCTACTTCTCCGACGAGGTCCCGCTGTGGCCCAACGTCAACTGCATTCCAGTTCCAAGAGTACTTAGAACCCCAGAGGGTGAAACCTGAAGGGACATACAGGGTTCTTTCACTGAAGTTCTGCTGTTCGTTTTTAAAGGAATGGATCATGGAAACATTGTCTGAATGTTTTTAAGATTGTTGTTGCTGCACATAGGGAAGTGAAACAGAATTCAGCAGCACACCAGCCAGTAATAGTGTTTGTGGAATAGTGTAACATATCAAAGAGGTGCCAAGAGCAGAACAGAATATGACTGGGTGCATGGATCCATATTTGTCTGAATGAGGTGTATGTTGTACATATGGCCAAAAGTATGTGGACACTCCTATTCACTAGAACAGGGGTGTCAAACTCCAGTCCTGGGGGGCCGGAGCCCTGTGTAGCTTAGTCTTTCCCTGTTCCACCACAAACGATTCATCTCAAGAGCTGTGTGGTAATTAGCACAAGTAGTGCAAGGAGTTGAATCAGGTGTGTAAAATGAGGGGAAACCCAAAAATGTGTATGGCTCCGACCCCCCAGGACTGGAGTTTGACACCCCTGCACTAGAGGAATAGTTTAATTAAGCTACACCCACCGCTGACACATATATAATATGATTAAGCACACAGATATGCAATCTCCAGTAACAAAAATTAGCAGCAGAATGGGTCGTCATATGGAAGACGTTTATGACTATCAAATTGGCACCATCATAGGACGCCATCTTTACAACACGTCAGTTATCCACATTTCTGCCCTGCTACAGCTGCCCTGGTCAACTCTAAGTAAGCGAATGGCAGCGAATCTGACCAGCCATGTTGCAACATGTAATGGAAAGTCTTCCCAGAAGAAAAGAGGCTGTTACAGCAACAATGGGCTGAACGACTTCATATAAATATGCTTAGTATCAGAATGAGATCTTGGACAAGCTGGTAACGACATACCTTTGGCCATATAGTGTACCTCACAGAAGCAAGTGGTGCAGGCTAAGTGCTGGTATCTCACATACCTTCATGGTGCTTTGTAGTAAGTACAACATATTTCGCTCCTGAGGCTGCAAAGATTTCCGTCCACTGCTTTGCATTGAAGAACTCTGCAGTGAACTGAGGTGCAAAATCTGCATACTGAAAATCGGGCGGATAATTTTGTCGCATAAAATCGACATATGGCGTCAATTTCTGGTTCTTCCAGTACCACCTGACAACAAAACAAAAACAGAGAAGCTATATTAGATGTTGTGCATTGATTGTTAATGACAGTTCAACAACCGGAATAGCAACCTTTAGACACACTACTACTACATAACCATGACTATTACCATTTAAGGATGAGACTGTCGAGAAAAAGAGGAATGCAGTAATGCTGGTTTTACATTCAGACATTGGCTTTTCCTTCTTTAATAGTTCTCAGATGGTTGGTGCAAAAAGAATAGCATGGGTAAATTAAATTTTTTGTTAAGACAATCAGCTACAACTGTGTTTTCTTCAGAAATTGCTGCCATTTAAAAGCTGTACAATATGAACATTGATGTCTACAGTCAGCTATAAGTGCTAACAAGGGATGTCAGGAATGATGCTGAGTTTTTCCATCTGAATAGAATGGATTCTCAAAAATGAACCAATGTTAAAATATCGATATTTAACTTAGATTAAATGTAAATGTTTTAAATGTTTACATAATAATAGTTATTTTTGTTATCATCATCACCCTCATTATTATTATTAATATTATTATTATTAGAGCCATGCATAATAATTTTTGTCCTTGCTGTTGGACTCACTTATAGACAGTGTGGTATATTTGTAAGAAGTTTAACAAAAATGCCGGAGTGACAAGAAAAGCCAACAAGCACTCGGCATCTTGTACTTCAAGGAAGTAGTCTGGATTCCAGAGACGATAGCAAAAGCAAGTGCTTTGTTGGCAGTTCTTGCGGCAAGAGTAACAACCCATTTGACTATTGGTAGATAAGTTCTGTTTGGCTATATCTTATTTAGGGTAAATGTCTCAACTAATTTTTTTTGTTTTATAAATATCGCAATATTTATTGCAAACATTTCACATGTTGCGGTTTGAATTTTTCTCCAGTATAAATAAGCACTATTTCCCATTGGTATCGACGAAACCAACTTTTATATTTAATCAAATCGAATCTGTCAGAAAATCAGTGGTATTTCATCCTATAGCTAACAGAACTAAGGGACCGTCTACAAATTAGACTACATGGCTTGACAGTAAGCTTGAACTGGTTTCTGAATTCTACATAACTTGTTCTACTACTGCAAAGGTTTTTTTCCAAGTTAGATGATCCATCTAGTATGGTACATTTGCAGCTCATT